CATCCACCTCCCTTTTTTCCCGCTGCCCCTCCTCTTTCCCCCTCCTGTCCCCCCTGTCCCCCTCCCGTTCCTCACCTCCCTCTCTTAATGCCCCCCCGAGTGGTGCCCAGAGGCGCCCCCGGGGCAGCCGCAGCACCCGCATTTCCTTTGCGGAGACGACAAGGTGACCTGGGAGCACGTCGGGGGCGACCCCGCCAACGTGCAGGACGTTGAGAAGGCCCCTTCACCATTGCCGCCGCCGCCACCGCCGCCGCCGCCGTTGCTGTGCTGCCGCCGACGTCGCCGCCGCAGCCGTCGCCCCTGCTGCCGTCGCTGTCCGATAGCGCGACTCCTGCATAACTTGTGAGGAAGTCCAGCGCGAGGGCGTGATTTTGGAACACATTGTGAGGAGCTAACATGCGGGAGCCGTTGTTGTTGAAGTTCGTGGCCCAACAACACAGTTTTGTGGCATCACCATTTCCCTGATGGGAAAACAGGGTGCGAACTCCGATGTGGGACCTTGAATTAACACATGCAATGGTTACCGGGGATCAGCCATACTTATTCTGTAGACATGGAAGTACAACAGCAACAACAGCATCACCAGCAACACCATCAACAACACCACTATCACATCAACAACGACACCAGTCACAACAGCACTCATTTGAAGATGGTTCGCTCCTACCTGCTCGCGTGCCATACAACACATATCCCAAACCCTCGGTACCCGCCCTCTTCGTCTTCGGTCATGTCCCCTCTTGAGGGTATATCTTCCCAATCTGCCGTGCGTAGCTGGCGCAGCTTCTAAAACAGAGGAAGGAGGGGAGAAGTGAAGAGACAGGGGGGAGGGAGAAGGATGGAGCACGAGACAAATATGCAGGAGTGCCACAATGAGCGACAAAAGGGGCCACGAAGGGCAGCGAGGGGGACACGAAGGGCGCGAGCGAGCGGGGGCCACGAAGGGCATATGTATGCGGGGCCACAAAAGGTATTGATGTTGCCACTGGGGGCAGCTATGGGGCCACGAATGGCAGCGAGGGGGCCACAACAGGCGACAGCGGGGCCAGAAAGGGCAGCAATGGGGTCACGAATGGCAACAATGAGGCCACGACGGGCGCGAACGAGCGGGGTTCACGCAGGGCATACATAACATATATGGGGCCACACAGGGCATCGCAGGGACCACTGAGGGTAGCCACGTGGGCCACGTGGGCCACGAAGGGCAAACGTAGAATGGGCCACAAAGGGCGACTGCGGGGCCACGAAGAGCAGTCATATGCCACGAGTGACAGAGAGGGGGCCGCGGACGGCGACAGTGGGGCCACGAAGGGCACGCATACGGGGCCACGACGGGCGCGAGCGAGCGGGTGCCACGAAGGGCATACATATATAGGGCCACAAAGGGCGGCAGCGGGGCCACGAAGGGCACGCAGATGGGGCCAAGACGAGAGCGAGCGAGCGGGGGCCACAAGGGGCACACGTATATGGGGCCACAAAGGGCGATTGCGGGGCCACGAAGGGCACGCAGGTGGGGCCAAGACGGGCGCGAGCGAGCGGGGGCCACAATGGGCACACGTATATGGGGCCACAAAGGGCGACTGCGGGGTCACGAAGGGCAGTAAGGGGGTCACGGAGGGCAGCGAGTGGGCCGCGAAGGGCGACAGTTGGGCCACGAAGGGCATGCATATGGAGCCGCGACGGGCGCGAGCGAGCGGGGACAGCGACGGACAGGCGCATATGGGACCACAAAGGGCGACAGCGGGGCCACGAAGGGCAGTAATGAGGGCCACGAAGGCCAGCGAGGGGGCCGCGAGGGGCGACAGCGGGGCCACGAAGGGCATGCATATGGAGCCGCGGCGGGCGCGAGCGAGAGGGGGCCACGAAGGGCATATAATGCGGGGCCACGAAGGGCAGCGACGGGGCCACTGAGTGCAGCAACGGGGCCACGAAGGGCGCGAGCGAAGGCGACCGCGGAACCACTGGGCAGCGAGGGGCATCGAATGTGGGCGAATAGCAGGAAACGTCGACTGCAGTCCCTAACGGGCGGGTCAGGCGGGTGGGCCCCGACGGGCGGGTTGAGCGGGCGGGTCGTTGAAGCGTGAATCAGATTTGCATCGCCACAAAATCTCGAACGAGAGCGCGACCTTTAAGGAAGTCGTGAGGAGGTCCAGGGCGAGAGCGCGATTCATGAGTGTCGAGGATCTGCGTAAACAGTTAGGACCTCTGAAGCGAGAGTGCAAATCCTGAGTAGATTTCATGGAGGTTTCAAGCGAAACTTTGATTTTCCAATACGTTGTGAGGAAGTATCCGGCGGGAGCCGTGGTTGCTGTAGTTCGGGGGCCAGGGAGCCAGCTTGACCTTCAATGTTTTCCCTGATGAAAACAGGGTGCGAGCCCCGAGAGGGGCACTGCAATGGGAAACATACAACTTGCGCCAGAGGGTGGATCAACAACATTATTCAAAAGAAGTGGGATCTCATCAGCAACAGCAGCAGTCCGCACCCCGGAACCTCACTTCTGTCACGCGCCCAGGGACAGCGAATGACCTTAGGCCCCCTCACTCTGGTTTTTATTGTGAAGCCTCGGCGCCAGGCAAGAACTCAATGCGAGCGACATCGCCCAATACTGCGAGCATCGTCTGGGCCGAGGCCATGTCCTCGGCATGCCCGTGGAATGCCGGCTCCAGGATTGGGCGCAGCACGCTCCTGCTTGGGCTGTTCGTGCTCGCGCTGAGAAGCTTGCGCGCTGCATCTACCAGCAGTCGGAGTTTCTCGTCTGGCTCCGGCGTTGATATAGCAATCTGAATCCTCGCCCCCATCTTCCTCATCAGTCCTCCTCACCCCCCTCTTCTCCTCGTATCGCCCAGGGGGATGTTGAGGATAGGGTTTTCCCTGCAGCCTTGCGCTTCTCGATGGCAGCCTCCTTGGCGGGCGTCTCCCCGTCCTGGAGCTCACGTTGCCGCGTCGGTCCCACAGGCGGCGCAGCTGCAAGAGCACGGCTGAGGGCTGCCTGAGTTGCAGGGGGTGCGCCTGGCGCCTTGACCATGGACGCGCTAGCATACCTGCATGCCACATCACGCTCTCGGTTGCTCCAGCGCTTCGTGAAGGTGTCCTGGAAGCCCCGCTGAACGTAGAGGTACTCAATGCGGCCCGACATGGGGCAATCCTTCGACGCTTCCCCGATCGCTGACCTCCACCGGGCTCCGTTGTACGGGTGGCTTGGTGGAGAGGTGGGCCTCCAGGCAGGTTCTACCCCCGCGACGTGTGCACGGCTCCCCACGACTGGCGTCCGAAACGCTTTCGCCCCTCAGGATCTAAGCTTTGCTGAATTTCCTTATCAGTTAGAGGCCAAGCTGACGAGGGATTCCACGAGCATGTCTGTCTGTCTCTCTGTCTCCTCCTCCTCCTCCTCCTTCTCCATCTGCTCCTCCTCCTCCTCCTCCACGATCGCGAGCTCAATCGTCACCGACGGTTGAATGTCGACCTTCGGTCGATTTCGATAGTCGGTCGATTTTGCCCCGTTGGTTAGTGATCCCCCTCCTCTTCCATCTCATCTGTCTCCTAATTGCAATCCCAAGCCGATGCTCCTCAGCTGCTACCCCTCCCCCCCTCCCCTCCTTCGTTAGGGGTTACCCCTCCCCCGTGAGGGGTTGGGGGGTGGGAACGAGTTTTATGGAATTCGACATACATCTAAGCTACCACCCCAACTTCAGGGCGTTCTGCGCGTGCTTTTTCGCGAGGCGCACGACGTGCTGGCTATGGTGGCCGCCCGTATCCATGATGATCGCATCGATTCTCAGCATGCGTCCCCACGTCCGCGAGGTCGTCTGGCGCTTCGTGAGGTACGCGCGATGCGCCTGGCCAGAGCTCAACCAGTATAAGATTCCGTCCTAAGAGAGGGAGAAGGGCAGAGCCTTGTACTGATCGCACTTGCGCCTGAGCCACCTCAAGCGCTCCTCCGCCTTCTCGTCATCATCCATGGCGGTGTAGGCCATCTTGTCGATGTCCCTGTGATCGCCCCCATCACCCTCCTCACCCTCATATCTCCAATCGTCCAACTCACCATCCTTGCCCAGCGCCGTACCCTCCTGAGGGCGTAGCAGCGCCTCGCCTCCGTGATCCTCCTCCCTCCCTCTCCTCTTCCTCCCCCTCCTTGTCCCATGACCTGCAGAAGCGCGTGCCCAGCTCCCTGTGCGCCAGGATCCAGTGGTCATCGCATCCTCGAGGTCCATGTCTTTCGCGGGGAGCGGCGTTTCGACCTCCTCGTTCCTGGGCAGGGCGTCCTTGGGGATCTCGGCTGGGGCCGCCGATGACATGAGGCGATTCTCGAAGTCCTCGAGATCGTCGACCGCGCTGGGCTGTGCAGCAGCTGGAGGACGCTGCAGACCGGCTCCAAGCACCATCTGAAGTACACCCTCGGAGTTGCCCTGCTCGCGCACGCGCGAGGAGACGTGAGGCCATTCGCCCCCGTAGGGCCGCGGTCCTGACGAGGGCGATCCTTGCCGTACCAGCGGCACGCTGCCCGCCTGGGAGTCGAAGGGCATGGCCGCGGGGAGACGGTGTTGGCAGCACCGCTCGCATTTTTTGAACTGGTAAGATCCATACAGACCCACGGCGCGCCAGACCACACGAGCACCGTCAACGTCGCGCCGGCTTGCGCGATCCCTCGAGGCGTCCAGATTGGGCCCCTCGAGGCCTTCTACCGACAACGGGGGGCACGGCCTCCACAGGCCGTCAGCTTTCCACGAGCAGCGGAGAGCACAGCCTCCGGAGGCCCTCAGCGTTCAACGAGCAGCGGGGAGCAATCCATTTCAACACGGTCTTAAAGTCTGTTGCTGCCAGGCGCGCGGGCCTCCCGAGGCCCTCGATGAGCAGCGGGAGCATCCGATTTCAACGCGATGTTGAATTCAATTGCTCCCTGGAGGGCCTTCGGGAGGGGATCCGAGCAACACATTTTCAACGCGACGTTGGAATCAAGTGCTCCCTTAGAGGCTTCGGAGGATCCGAGCAACATGTTTCAACACGATGTTGAAAGCTGTTGCTCCGTGGGGGGACTTCGGGAGGGGATCCGAGCAACTTACTGCAACGTGATGTTGGAATATGTTGCTCCTTCGGGTGGCCTCGGGAGGGGATCCGAGCAACCGACCTCAGCACGATGCTGGAAGCCGTTGCTCCCTTGGAGGCCTCGGGGGATCCGAGCAGCATGTTTCAGCACGGGGTTGGAATCCGTTGCTCCCCTAAGCGCCCGACAGCAACATTTCGGGTTGCGGCGTGGCCACGGGGTAGTGGGGGGCCAAAAAATATACACCACCACCACCACCTCCCTCACCCCCTCCCTCTCCCAGGAAAAAGGAGGGGAAGAGGAGGGTCGAGAAGGGAGGAGGAGTCGACGTGGTGGTGGTGTATGCTCTTGGGGCCCCCAGGGTGGGGGGTTTTGGGCGTCTCGCCCGCTAGCGATCGTGAGCAAGGCCATTGGACAGGAGACCAGGTCGCCTCTCCTCACAAGTCGGGGGGGGCCGCGGTGGAGCCAGCGGCCTCGCTGCCCGGCTCATCTGCGGGCTCTCCCACACTCTCTCTCTCTCTGTGTCTATCTCTCTTTTTGTTCGCCCTCTCTCTCTCTCTATCTTGCTCTTTATCTTTCTCACTCTCGCTCTCCCTCTCCCTCTCTCTCTCTCTCGCCCTCGCTCGCTTCATCTCTCTTTCTCTCTCTTTCTCTCGCAGATCTTTCTTACTCCCTCCCTCTCTCTCTTGCGTTATATTTCTCTCTCTCTCTCTCTCATTTCTTTCTCACCCCCACTCTCTGTGTTCCTCTTTCCCTTGTTATCTTTAATATCTCTCTCTCTCTACCCTCGCTCTCATCCCTCCCTCTCTCTTTCTCTCTTCCTCACCCTCTCGGATTCTCACGCACCCTTACCCCCCCTCTCTCTATCTCTGTCTCTCTCCTCTTTCTCGCTCGCTCTCTTTTTTTTTCTTTCTCTCTCTCTCTCTCTCTTTCTCTCCTCTCTCTCTCTCTCTCTCTCTTTCTTCCTCCCTCACACTCTAAAGTGTCGCTGACCACGAGACTTGTCGGTGTGCTCCTCTTCTTTGCTGGCGGCATGCTGGTGATCCCGATCTTCCCGATGCCCTTGATGGCTTCGCCCTCGCCCTTCTTGACCTCGCTCTCGTCCTTCTCGCCCTCGTCCTCGCTGCCCTTGCCTATCTTGCCCTTGCCCATAATGATCGCGTCATCGTTGTCGCCCGTAGTGCCGTCGAGCTCAGCCATACTGTCGCCCACGCTCGCGGACTCGTCCCATTCCTCTGCAGGCGCCGTCGTTCCCTTGGCATTCGCCTCGGCAAGCATGGAGGCAAGTGGATGAGCGACGGCCGATGACTCGGTCCGTCCACATCCGACACTCCGATCAGCTCTCGGTCCTCCCACATCCTCTCCCTATCAGCCTGCTCCACCATCATGTCTCCTCCTGCTTATCCCGATCCTGATCCCCCTCGATCCTCCCGCCTCTCCCCAATCAGCCTGTCCGTTATCAGATCCCCCTCGATCCTCCCACGTCCTCCCTCATCAGCCTGCTCCACCCTCCATCGATCCTCTCTCGATCCTTTCTCGATCCTCCCACATCCTCCATCGATCAGCCATATCCCCCTCGATCCTCCCTCGATCATCCCACAGCCTGGTTCATCCTTCCTCCTCACCTTCCCCCCCATGACTCGCCTGAGCCTCCTTGGCCTTGAGCCCGAACTTCCACTCCATTAGCTCCTAGATCTTCTCCTTGCCCCAGCCTCCGAGGTAGGAGCCCTTCGCCTCTTCGTAGCCGCCGTCGAACCAGACCGCGTCCAGCAGGGTTACGCCACTCGGCTTGAGCATGACGTCAGCCATTCGAATGAGCTCCTTGCCGCGCTCGATGCACCGCGTGACCTTCACGCGAGCGTCGTACTTGCTGTCGCCCTTCGTAAAGACGACGCCTCCTGGCTTAAGAGGCCCCGAAACTGGCATCTTGGGCCTCAAGCGGGCCCACCAGGCGCCCAAGACGGCCCAAGATCGACACCGAAACGGCCCAAGAGAGCCAGGAGACCTAGACTGCCCATTGAGGCACCACGACGGCCTCCCAATGGCTGGCCTGATTGCTTGTGACCGACTTGAAACTTAGCGCTTGCAAAGCGCACGCGCGGGGTTCTTTCTAGTAGGCAAGCATGTCGATGATGTCACCCCTGCTGGTCTCGATACGCTTCCCGACCGCATATTCGACCCTCCGGTTGGCGGTTCGGTATGGTCTCGCCCCATGTGGTAGCGGACGCGGTAAGAGGGTCTCGCGGTCCTGGTCGGACTCGGTGTATTCGTAGCCCGCCTTGGTCTTTTGGGCGCGGCAGTTGTCGCCGCGCGGCCACTGCGCGAGGCCAGCGGGCGCCGCGCATGGCCATCCGCACCCGCTTGGGCACCCCCCGCCCCTTCTCAAAGGACTGGGCGGACGGGCCCCCCTCCAAAAGCGGCAGCGTCTTGAGCCGAAACGGCTGCGGGACCGCTCCTTCACTTCCGCCTCGTCTTCCCTTCGTCCCCCCCACCTGCCGTTCGCCGTCCCGCTATGGGGCGCGACCGCCAGTTGCTCAAGAACCTGAAGGACCCTTACACGGACGAGCGCAGGAAACCCGACGTGGTGGTGATCTTGTCCACGCAGGCTCGGCGCGGGGTCAGCGCAGCCCGAATGGGGCCTCCAGTGCAGTCACAGCGGGGCGTGTGTGGGGGCGGGGGATTGCCTTTTCCTTCTCATGTCTTGTTGTGTGAATGTTGGTCCTCCTCGTATTATTGTTCTTCGCTCTCCTCTTCCTTCTCCTTCTCCTCCTCCTCCTCCTCCTTTTCCTCGCTCCTGCTACTCCACCCTGCGTGTGTCGTGTCGCGCCAGATGATTCATTCCGACGGGGAGGCTCTTCACCCGCTTCCCCGTCGATTCCGACGCTCGCATCGTATGTTCTCGAGTTCTCCAGAGCGCGATGGGCTGGGCGGCGTCGCCACTATCATGTCGACGGGCCCTGACCTCACCATGTCCTCCGAGATCTTGGTGCCTGGCCGCATCCTGCTCACGGAGATTGCCCACGCTCCCTCAAAGTTCGTGTTCTACCACTGGAACTTCCACAGCCACGACATTTCCAATGACGAGTTCCGGTCGTGCGCCGGGAGATTCGGGGCCCAGGTAGGAGCTTCGCAAGCCAACCCATACAAGTCAAAGGTTTTCACGATTGGGGACTTCAACATCGCCGACTCGAGTGGCGAGCTTGGTCCAAGTGGCACTCCTGACGGCTCTGGGGCTGACGCGGCTCCTCGGCAGGATCGTGCGGGTTACCACCGATGGAGGCAATTATGGAAGATGTTGGCCGATTTCGACGCCGAGCGTCTGACGCATTTGCAACAACATACGCAGCTAGCCACGCAGATCGACAATGCGCTTACTTCGGCGATGACCTGCTTAGTCATGACGTCTTGGCAGTCCGTGACCGTTGCGAACGGGCCACAGGAGCTGCACCTAGATTCGATCAGCAGCCACGCGCCGCTCACCTTACAGTGGGCTCCGATGCCGCCTGGTGACCAAGATCATGTCAGGCTGCTTCCGAGACACATCGTGCAGGACCCGATGTTCTCGCAGATGGTCGTGGAGTACGAGCGGCTCGCTGGCATCGATCGCCCTTGGTAATCCGCTCCGTCCAGGCTGCGGTTCGCATTCAAGTGTCGCCGAGGCGCTGCACGTGCCACTCGCGACTTGCAGCTTCGAGCGCCCACAGTCTTCCGTACCATCGCACGGGCATTCATGCGGCATGATGCTGCTGAGGCTCGAGACGTGCGGGCCCGGGACGAATAAGCCCGGGAGTACGTCGCCGTGGACGTCGGCGGCCGTACCCTCACGGTTTTGAACGTGAAGTAAGCGGCCTTCCTTGAGTCTCTCTCGCGCAAGCTGCGAGACTCCCAGCTTGCTGGAAGGCCCCAGGCGGCGTATCACTCCAGGAATCGTAGGGCTATCCAGCTTCGCGCCCGCCTGTGGGACCCCAGCGGCACCCGTCGATGTCTCGGTCGGGTGCAGTGCGGGGACTGGGCTCTATCGGATCTAATGTCACAGGCTTGCGGTTTGGCGAGCTAATGGGCTCCGATGTACCAGGACACCTCATCCACCCCCGCCGACGGTAACCAGTACGTGCCCGCTCTGGTGACATCTCTGACCTCCCTTCCCTCTCCCGGTCCACAATTGACCAGATTTGGAGGCGCGCCTCGGACTCCGCACATGGTCCTGACGGCTTGCCGTGCAAATGCGCTGGGCCATCGGTGCTGGCCACTCCATGGGTTTAGTGACATCTTCTGGTGAATTTCTCGCGGCCCCCCCAGCCATGGATCTAAGTTATTATTCGTCCTTTCTGCGTCCCTTCCGCAAGGTTGCGTGCCAGACGATCTGGGGGCCTCGGTCATCGTTCGAGCTGCGCTGGACATTCGTCCGCTTGGCTTGAAGGACACCTCCAACAAGGCAGTCGCCTCTGCGATCAGCCGCTACGTTGTCGGGGTGGTGGCAAAGACCCCCCTCGACGCAAAATGGTTTTGTGCGCGGACGGCCCTTCCTTGACAATATCGTTTCGTTAAACTCGTTCGCTCGGGCCGACAGCATCCAAAAATGCCCCCTTCAAGGAACCCTCGCTCGAGATCAGTTCCCAATGTTGTTGTCTTTTGATTTCTGTCGGGCTATTTCCAGCGTTCGGCAGGATTGGCTCCTCCGCGCGACTCGGGCAGTTCGCTGCCTCGAGGAGTCCAGACAGCAGTCGCAGACTTTTAAGTCTTCAGCTTGTGTTGGTTCTGCGACGGAGGTCTGCTGCTCCCGCTCTTCTGCATGACGGCGGGGGTGCTATAGGGCTGCCACTGGAGATGTCCATTCTTTCCGATCGCTTCGAATCCTTTGTTCCGGGGTATGGATCTGCAGGTCGTGAGCCCACGCCTGGGGTTTCCGAGGGTGTGCGCCAACGATGCCGGGGCAGTGGTTTCCCACGTTGCTGGTTCTGCGCGGACGGCTCGTGTATTTCAGATCGCGAGTTCTTGTTCGCCCGCTTGACCTTGAAATCTTGTAAATGCCAGGCCGTCCCTCTGATATGTGAGCTCTGCGACTCGCTGGTTGAGGCCGCTCGGGGCTTCCTTCTCCGTGTCAATTCGGATTGGGCGGAGTTCCGGATCCAGTGGAGTCTCACCTACCTCGGAGTGGAGCTCGGCCCGTCTGCGTCGTTCGAGCTCCAGTGGGGGGCTCCCTTGAGCTAGCTACGCGTACGCGTCCGTTCCGCGATCCGTTCCACCGCAGATGGCGCCAAGAATTCGTTCTACTACCACACAAGGTGCCTCCGAGTGCTGTCGTACAAGGCCCAGCCCTTCCCCATATACATGCTTTCCCGATGTACAGAAGCATGGCCATCCATGAGCGTCAGATTATCGCATCCCTCTGGAGGCCCCCAAGCTCGATTTTGTCTTTGGGATGGTGGTGGTGGTTAGGACTCGGAGAGTTTGGAGGCCCAGGTTTCCAGTCCACGCGGGCATACGGCGCCGGCTGCAGGATGCGCGCCGCCCTTGTGTCGCTCCAATCGTTTCTCCACCGACTTCGCCGCGTCGTTGGGCTCCCGCGTGTCTTTCCAATTCCTCCCGCGCTCCTCCTTTCTGGACCTCGCCTTCTATCGCCCTCCTTGAACCCGCCGCCCACGGTTTTCGCTTTTCGTCCAGCCGTCGGAACCAGGTCGTCAGTGCCTTTCTCTGTTCCAGGCGGGCCCGCCCAACAGAGGTAGATCCCGTTGGCAATCACAGTTTCAGGCGATATTCCATCAGGCTCTTTTTCGCCACGTGATCGGGGCCACACTGGATCGCAGAATCGCCAAATGGTATCTCCCGTGGGGCGAAATGGGGCTGGTTAGTCGGGGGGAGATGAGTAGGGCAGGGTGGTAGCTTCCGTTCGCGTGGCATTCCGCAGCCTTGAAATCTTGGCTCGGCGCTTGGACCACGTCCCATATGAGACGGGCCCACTCGGGCTGTATCTTCGGGCGAGGCTTGACTTGGCCTGTTTCATGATACTGGTCGGGATGATTTCAATTCTGCGTTCATCGTATGTTACTGTTCTATGCCTTGCGGTTATTTTCCGCGCGTGGTTGCCCCGAGCTCGCTGCTCAAGACGTGCCACGGCTCGCTGAGGCTGTCAAAGTCGCCATTCTCCTTGCGCTGCTGGGCCCCATGTACCTTTGTGGGTACGGCGGGAAGATCTGATACGCATCGGAGGATATCTTGTTGCGCTTCCAGGCCACGCTCCACCTCGCCGTCTTCGCTCCTCATGTAAAGCTGGGTCCTCTGCCTCGCTCCCACCGGAGGTGGGTTTAGCAGGCTGCGTCAGTGCGTTCGATAAAATTTTAGTTGGTTGCACCCTGGAGGGGGGCTCCTGTGTCCCATCAGTTGTATATTGTGAATATGTTGATGTATTGTCTGTTCCTGGTCCTGGCGGGCATCTCCCCTTTTTGGAGATTGGGGCTGTGTTATGTGTTGAAGTATTCGGGGGCTTGTCTTTCAAAGGGCCACTTCTTGTAGGAACCTGTGAAGAGGGAACCTGGAAGGACGAGTTATTGCAACATTGTTGATGCGTCTTTGGTTTGCATTGATCCTCCTCCTTCTCCTTCTCTTCCCCCTCCTCCGCCTCCTCCTCCTTTTCTTCTGCAGTTGTCATGGCATGGCGAGACTGTAGTTCCATCTGCCGGATCAGCGCGAACAGCACCAACACAGACAACAAGGGCACCAGGAATCCATTATGATCCGTTATGGAGACGAGGGGGGGGAAAGGAGATGGGAAAGACGAGTTGGATAAGGCGGGGCGGTACAAACACAAACATCGGGCCAGGAGCAGCAGGATTGGAACGGGGGCGGGGGCAGAACAATATGAAAGGAGGCAACAAATCATTGGGCCAGGAGCAGGAGGAGCAGGAGGATGGCAAGGATGAGGGGGGGGAGGCTTATCTTCTCTTCTCCTCCTTGCTCCTCCTCCACCTCCTCCCTCCCTGCCTCCCTCCCTCCCTTCTCCTTCCTGCTCCTGCTGCTCCTCCTCCTCATGGGGCCATGTGGAGCGGTTGCCGCGTGCAGCGCGCGAGAGCGGCCGACCGATGGCAGACGCCGTCCTCCCTGTGCGCCGCCAGCGCGCCGCCTTGCCCCTCCCGGCCCCTCTGCGTGCCGCCGTTTGGCCGCGGGTGGGCGACGCGTTGGCGGGGCGACGCATCCCCGGGAGGCCACGCCGCGCGCTGCCGCTGCACAGGCCGTCGGGGGCGCTCCGCGGTCGCTACGGCCACAGGGGCGCATCCACGCGCGACGCGCCGCGCACGCCTCGGCGAGGCCGCCGCCCGGCTACGGGGGGGTGCGGGCGCCCGACGAGGAGAGGGCCCGGTGCTCGCAGGGTCCAGGCTGCAGGCGGTCGGTCGCGAACGGGGGGCGCGCGCTGGCCGAGAAGCGCCGGACTCGTCGGCGTGGAGGACAGCTTGGCCGGGGGCGCCGCGCCACAAGCGTGAGGTCTCCAGAGGGCCCACGGCGCCAAGGCTCGCAGAACTCGCAACCGTTGCGGAGCCGTACGAGATGCCCTCCAAGGCATTCCGCCTGCGGGGCGGACGTGCGACGGCACGGAGTTCCTCGTTGACAGCACAGGAAGCTCCCCTCGAGAAGAACCAGCTCAACGAGGAGGGGCCATAAAAGTTAACTGCCGTCGATGCCTCGATGCCGCTGACTCGGAGCTCGAGGCGCGCAGCCGCTCCACGATCTCGCGGCCGTCATGTCGAGTGCCACGAGCAGCAGGCCCAGCACGTGCCCGCCGCTGCTCCTGCCGCTGCTGCGGCGCCCAGGGCCGCCTCCGGCGTCCGGGCAGCCGGCTGGACAAGTTCCGCGAGGCGCAGACGCAGCGGCAGCGGCAGCGGGTCATCTCGAGGGCAGTGGTGACGCGCCCCGTGCAGCAGTCGCGCCAGGACGTGGCGCCTCCGCAGCGGTGGCCGCATTTCAGGGAAGGGCGTTGGTCCCATCGTTCAGACTGCTGCTCTCCCCCCCAGCGTGGGCCACATCCGAGCATTTCCGCATTGTTGCCCTTTCACTCTTCTTCCTCCGCCTTCGACTGGTTCTCCTGCTCCTCTTACTCCTGCTGCTGCTCTTGCTGCTCCTCCTCATCCTTTCTCGTAGGTTTTTTCCTTCCAGGCATCGTCCTGATCGTCCGTCACCTCGTCCGATGTACACAGCCCCCCTTTCTGATTGCACATCGCACGGTGGGGTAACTATGGGGGTACAGATCCTCCCCAGTTGGCGGATAGAAAAGACAGAATTCAGCGTAATTAATAGGAAGGGATGGGTCGGAGGGTCAGGATGTCAGACATGGCGCGAGGGCACCTGGCCATCCGAGGCGGTTGCAGCGGAGGGCAAGAAGAAAGAAACCATTAAAGGTCTCTGGCACATGTCGATCCTCTGTTTCGATTAGTTTCGACTCGACCCCAGGGTGGGTCGGGGGGTCCTCTTTGTGGCAGGGCCTCCGATATCCAGTCCCCTTCCCTCCCTTCGGTACCTCTCCCCGTGCGCCATGCCCTCCGTCATTCCCCTCACTCTCGCAGCGCCCCGGCGTCGTACCTCCATCCCCCGCCCCGTGGTTGCTGGGCCCTCGCGAGGGGCTGCCGGAAGCGGACGAAATACCCCAGAGCTGCCGTGAGCTTAGTTAGTGCTGCCACTGGCGGCTTTCCGCAGCCATCGGCGGCGCCTTTGTCGGGTAGGGGGGAGAATGAAGAGGAGGAGGAGGAGGAGGACGAGGAGGAGGAGGAGTGATTGATATATCAATTCGCTGAGAAAGGTGAGTCGACAAGACCACGAACTCGCAGGCGAGTGACACAAATCGCCCCGACAGGGGTGCATGGCTAGCCCCCTACCCCAATCCCCAACCTGGCAAGTCCTCAAAAGAACTGAGTAGCCAGCCTGTCCTAGGCCAAGCCGTCCACTATCGCGGTTCAGACTTGGGCACATTATCATTGACACGCTTGTGGCGTGGTTGCGTCGATGTCGAACAAAGGCGCGTGAGCCGTGACAGGCGGACACCCTCCAACAGGTGCAACGCTGCCGAGCGCCCTACCTAGCGCGGGAGTGAACCCGTGACCAGAGTAGGCCCCCCCCCCCATTTGGTGTCAAACATTTAGCAGCCAGCCTGTCCTAGACCATGACGTCCTCTATCAGGACCATCGTTTCCAGCACCTTCTCATTCCCAAGTTTGTTTGGTTGGCGCATGAGCTTACAGTTTGATGTAATTCGATTTCGTATAGTCACTGCTGGGCCTGAGTTTACACTGATCCCGCAATTTGCTTATACGAGTGCCCTCATCAATACGTCCTAAGCTAATGCAGACAACACTCGCTCTGAGAGGAGTGGCAGTCACACATCTTGTGGACCTGGGGCTCCGAGGCCAGGGCACTCAGGACCACATTATGGCCCGTGCAGTCAGCATCAGACTTTGGTGGGTCCATCCTTGTTCGTTTCAAGCACCTCTGGCAGACCCACCACTGCCGAGTCAGGTTGACGTGATGGCCCCGACTCGGCTGTTTGTGCCGAGCCACAGGCTCCCTTCGCCTGAGATCAGAGATTGCCGCCGCCGCCGGGGAAGAAGGAGACGAGGACGCTGCCGACGGGGGTGGCGAGGTGGGTGGGGTTGGCCCCTTCGGTATTCGAGGTTGGATTTTCAGCAGGGCCTCGATGCCTTCGGGAGGTACACCCTCACAGGTGTACCGAGCCTCCTCTGCCCACAGAATACGCGTTTCTGAAACACGTGTGAGCTCATGCTGGAGGACCTTCTTCTGGGTGGCTTAGGTTCTCAGTCACCCTGGGACGGACGATTCTGTGACAACGCAGCTCCCTTATCCACCTGGTCTGCACAGTCATTTCCAGAGCATTCATACCATTAGAGAATGTACATGGTCCTGGACCTTAGCCAACCTGTAGTCAATCCACGCTGCCTTCTGCATCCTACGGCCATCAGTCTGATCTCTGCATAGAATGAGCTTCTGTGAACACACCCTGTGCTGGCGTTTCAGTCAAGCCAGCTAGAGATTCCTATTCAGTCATGGCACGGGTCATTCTAAGGCAGTGCAACCACGCGCATAGGCATGCTACATGTTAAGCTGCTCGACTCACCTGCGGGAACACATGTATATTCTTCCTGTGGTGGCGCTCCTCCTCTGCCTCCTCATGTAAGGCCAAGAGAAGCGCATGCTCGTGATCATGCTGCAGCTGCGCCACCTTCTCAACAAGATCTGGCAGAAGGAGGCCTCGCGCTGACACCAGCGCGGGGGGGCGGTCAGAGCCATGAGCATGCTGATGATGCTGGTGAGGACGATGCTCATGATGCTGATGATGTTGATGATGATGATGGTGGTGATGGTGATGGTGATGGTGACGATGCTGCTGCTGCTGCTAACGACGACGACGTCAAATACCACGACAACGGTGATGATGATGATGGTGATGCTGATGCTGATGCTGATGCTGATGCGGATGTGGGTATGGATGCGGATGTGGATGATGATGATAATGACGACTGGGATGATACTGCTGACGGTAATTGTGATGGATCGTGATGTTTCTGTCGAATCAATGACGATGTTGATGATGATCATGATGACGATGATGATGACGATGATGATGGCGATGATGATGATGATGATGATGATGATGATGATGATGATGATGATGATGATGATGATGATGATGATGATGATGATGATGATGATGATGATGATGATGATGATGATGTGTGTGTGTGGGTGTGTCTGTGTGTGGTTCTGATGCTGGTGCTTGTGCTTGTGCTGGTGATAGTGCACTGGTGGTGGTGATGATGATAAGGAGGAGGAGGAGGAGGAGAAGGAGGCGGATGATGATGATGATGATGATGATGATGATGATGATGATGATGATGGTGATGGTGATGATGATGATGATGATGAGGATGATGAGGATGATGATGAGGATGATGATGACGATGATGATGATGATGATGATGATGATGATGATGATGATGATGATGATGATGATGATGATGATGATGATGATGATGATGATGATGATGATGATTGTCAGAGGCTCGTTGCGGGTCCGTGCAAGAGGAGGAGGAGAAGGAGAAGGAGGAGGAGGAGGAGGACGGAGGAGGACGAGGAGGAGGAGGAGGACGGAGGAGGGAGGGAGGAGAATGGGGAGGGAAAGGGGTCGGACGGCCTGCCTGAAGATGCAGGGGCCCATAATTTCGGAAATGGCAGTTCCGGTCGCGCAGATAGCAGTTGCGATCGCGCACGGAGCTCTCGTCGGATGCGCGGTCCATCAGGGCCTGCCGCTGCGCCCTCCCGCAGGTCCCTGGACGCCAGGGTGGCGGCCCTCATCGGCGCCGCGGCCTGCCCTGGCCGCCTGCGGGGGCCCCGCCTTTCGCCTCGCGAGGCGTGGCAGCCGCTCCGGCGCCGGCAACCCCGCCCAGGGCCAGGTGAATCATGGAAGGCCTCACTCAGGATGGCGCACAGGCCCTGCTGGCCTTGGCCAGGGGGGGGGAGAGGGCGTGTACACCACCCTTCGAGGGCCCAGCACGGCCCAGGCCAGGCATGGCGGCGCCTTCTCTGCCTTCTCCTCAGGAGTGTTCGCCGCGTTCGGAGCGAGAGAGCAGCCGAAAGCTGCCTCCGGCCACGGCTGTGCCTCCACGCCGCGTGAGGGCCTGCGCGAGGTGCCAGCTCGCCCGATCGCCTCCGCGGGCGTCGCCGCGGGCTAGGCCTAGCGCGGGGCCTCCGCCCGGCGCCCTGCAAGTTCCTGCCCCGTTGGCCGCCGCCAGGAGCGACTCGCCACGAGACAAGCACTCATGTTTGTTAATTTGTTTGCTTGCTATCTCTTTATATGTGCTGTATGCTTTGCCAGTGTCCGACTTTCTGAGCCCTCCTCCGGGCCCCAAGGACGTTAAACAATGACTCAGGGTGAAGAGCTTGTCCCGGGGAGAAGGCCAGGGATTCGGGACCCGTTTCCCTCAGGGCCCGTTTCTTTCATGCCAAAGTGCTGCCTCCCCCCCAATCGACCTCATCCTCTAGGGTGCCCTGCCTCGCGGCGTCGAAGGCAGGCCTGGCTGGGCGATTGTCGTGGCGGCTCGGTCGTGGGGCGTAACCGCGGGCTTTGGCGTCCGGGTCGACCGTCTCCCGTGACCAGTTCCCGCTTGGGCCGCTCGAGGTGCCTCGAAGGGGAGGGGGAGGAGGATGAAGAGGAGGAGGAGGAGAAGGAGGAGGAAGTGAAGGAGGAGGAGGAGGAGCAGGAGGAGTAGGAGGAGGCGGAGGAGGAAGGAGGAGGGGGGAAGGAAGAAGGAGGAAGGAGGATGATGAAGAGGAAGGAGAACTGATGATGATGATGATGATGATGATGATGAGGAGGAGGAGGAGGAGGAGGAGGAGGAGGAGGAGGAACCCGTGCTGCACCAGGGGAACGGCGTGCACGTGGTGGTCGAAAACTCATTGGCGCTGGGCTCAGTTGGTGCTGGGAATAAGCAGGGAAGAGCAAGCGGGAGTGGGAGTGAGACCATGGGTAGGAGTATGGCAGGTTAGTGCTGCGTCGGCGCGGCTGCGACGCCGTCGCGAGCGTTCAAGTTTGGAGGCCACCAGTGGCTCGAGCCAAGCTAACGTTGACCAGTTTCTGTTGTGGGATACGGTGGAGGCGTTGGTTAAGAATGTGCCCAGGAGGCTTCAGACCCTGAGGGATTCCCTATCTGATAGGGCGGCAGTGATATCCATGGCCGCTCCACTCTAAAGTGAGCTGGGACAAGGGCGAGAGATAGCGAGCGTTTGTCCGTGGCCGCTTGGGCTCAAGCGGCCTGCCGCCAACATGTGACTGCGCCTCATTGAGAGGCATACTACTTGCCATCGACCCCGAAAACATCCCTCGCTTGAGATGGTCCGTCGCTCCCGCGACGACCTCCTCCGACTGGGACCATAGCTACTACAGTACAACAGAGCTGGAGCTGCGCTTCGCCTAAGGCGAAGCTTCTAGTCGGGCCTCCCGGCCTCCGTCAAACTTGGTAGCGGAGCTGGCCTATGGTGGTCAGCTCTCGCTCTACTCCTCACCGTCCACGGCACTATCTGGTGGACTACTGGCATGGTGGAACATCAGGGTGCGGAGTGTACATAACTACGCACAACCGCAAGGACACTTGCAGTGCTACCTCTGCTCTTGCGGAGGCCTCTTGCTCGAGTCCTACATCCCTGCGCTACTACACTCCCGAAGTCCACCCACCTACTCCAATCGGGCTGTTTTTTTTGACGATACCATGCATGGCAACATTCGATAAGATGTTGTCCCGCCTCCACCCCCGCGCACGCGTACAACAAAACACCACAAACCCCAGCCACAAACATCCGACCACGACTACGGGGCCATTAGATTGGTATTATTATCTTTGGTCTTATATGGGTCGCTTTCGGGTGTGCTGTGGGACGCATGCGTGGCGGATACGGCACACAAACAACCGGCCCCACTGGGACCCGGCCGGTCAAGTACCTGTCCGCGAATTCTGTGGAGAGGTACATGCCTGGATCGACGTAACCACAGGCAATGTGACGCCCTCCCAACAAGCTCCAGCATTGCAGCGTGGTCTGGGAGGTTTTGCACGGACCATGGCCATGAGAGTTCCTTCCGCAGTCATCAATTTTGGCGTTAACATTGGTGGCCTTCATACCGATGGCGTCACCTACATCATGTTTCTCCTTAGCAAGAAGTTTGAGAACTTAGAGGAGGAACGCCACATCAAGTCGGGAACGGCTCTCGTCGACTGCCGAGTCCATGCGGGAGAACGGGTCGACCAGACATTAGCGCCTTTCGACATGGCCCGCTACGAGGCTGAAGCGGCAGGTTTAAACATCCCCAGCTTCCGAATCCTAGCAGCTACTCGGTTCAGAGCCTTAGGAGTGGGGACGTCGCGTGCACAACAACTCCTACAGCCACTCAGTCACCAAATGCCGAGGAATCAACATCACTGCTTGAGCGCATGAGGTCATATGCTCACATTGCTGAGCGAACCCCTGGCAATATGGTGTTATCTTTAGCCACGGTCACCGTGCCGAAACCTTCCATGCTGAAGCTAATGCAGGGCAGCCTGCAACAAACGTCTGGAATGACGATCCGCAACCAACGGGGACCACCACTCTATTAGCCTAAAATGGTGGCCCGGCTACGGGGTCGCAAGACTCCTGGGCCAGATATCAGGGACCGTCGGCAACGGCGGCCCCTACAGAAGCCACTACCCTTGTAGGCTCAGCGGGGCAACCCGCTGAGTCTGACTTCGGCTCCGGAACCGACGCCGACGCGTCATCAGACGACGAAGCGGCTGCCCTAGATTACTCCGATCTGCCCGCGTATCTTACGGAAGAACAACAGGCTCAATAGCTATGTCTAGGATATCAGAAACAGAAACGCAGATGGAGACGGTCTATCAAGAAGCCAGTTCGTAAGGTACGACGTATTATCCGACGGGCACTTAGGGGAGAAGATTCGATGTCTGTTCATGGGAGCCCTGGGCGGCGACATTGAACTCAGCTCTTCCTGCATGTGGACAGCGTGGGACCGCATTTGGCCCATCCTCCTGCTCCTCCTCTCCCCTCCTGTTCCCTCTCCCCCTCCTCGTTCTCCTGCGTAGCCCCCACGAATACAGTTCAGGCCTGGTCCAAATCCGGTCCAAATTTGCTCCACATCCGGTCCAAATCAGGCCCAAATTGGGCAGTGCCAGGGGCCACGCAGGCCCCCATGGAACGGACGCCAAAAGAAGATAAGGGCCGAGGCCAGGGCGAGGGCAAACGGCGGCGATTGCATTGCAGAGGTATGCTAGCATTCCTGGCATCTCTTACTGGACCACAGTACGAATGATTATTCCTGGGTGCGGGCAGGGGCCGTAGGCGCACCTCAGGAAAAAAGGTCAGGGACGTCGGGGCAACCCGAAAGATGCCCACGGTGCAACCATGGACATCGCGGGGCAACCTGCGCCAATCGAATTCGTTGAGGATTTCCATCTACCCGCTGACGTAGACCAGGATATGGCGGGGGCACCTGCGGATTCTGAAGCTACCATTCCAGCGACAGAAGAGGACATGGAAATGATGCTTTATCCTCAGGTCACTGGCAATCCGACAAAGGCAGAACCATATGATGATGATCCTTGGCGGGGGAACCCGCGAGATGCTGGCGACCTTTCAGAGCGAATCTAATGCGGACTTGGACATAATGAAGTTCATCATTTCACGTTCGTGGCTCATGGGCGGTCTCCGAGCCGCCGTGGCCGATCAGCTAGGCGCCAAGTCTGGAGACGCGCGAATCGCTCAGATAATGGCGAAGATGAGTGGGGAGCTGAGGACCAGCGCGCTCAGCGTCGCGGTCGCGTCCGCAACCACTCACGCGGGCGCTCGCGCGTGCTGTCCAGTGGCCCCCAGCGCCCTCGCCCCCCTGACACGATGGCCCCAGGGGCCCCACCGAGGAGGGGGCGCTCGTGGGGAAACCCGCCTCAGGGGGAGGACCGTCCAGCCGCGCCCAAAGCAGGAGGCGTGCAACGCCTTGTCAGTTATGATGATCACGGGCTAGCTCGCCAGTATATACCTCCCAACGCGATGCGATATTGGCTCGACCAAGGCTGGGCCGAGCATGACATTCGCCTCTGGTATTCACGTGAAAATGTTGAGCGGAATGACGACGGCAAGATCGCCCGCGCCAACAGAGGCAAGGGCGCCAAGACACCGGAGAGCCTTCGAAAACGGGCCCTTAAGAGGGCGGTCATCAATGACCTGAAAGAATGCCGGGGTCTCGTCGGTCCTTGCGAATATTTTGCCGGCCGCTGACCCGCGTGTCGGATGAGGCGTCCATCAAGGCGCCCTAACTTCGGAAGAACCCCATGTGTCTGGTCCCACGTTGATGGTCTAAGTCGCAGTGTGGATCCGGCCAATCATTCACCCGCAGAATGTTTGACTGAAGCTGACTACCAGCCGATTGCTGAGAGATATCCATCGGATCGGTCGAATCTGGCAGCGCCTCGCTCCGAATCACCTTCTTGAAGTATACAATCGAGAAAATCATGCGGGGCAACCCGCTTCTCCTTCACATGGGGGCGCTGCCCATCCAGAAGGTGATGAAGGGGCTGGCCGCGTGGTCCCTGCCAAAGCAGTGGCCCCCACTTCTTCCGGGTCGGGCCCGGGGTCTGACTCGTGCTACTCCGACTCGGCCTGCAGCTCTGATGCGGAAGATACCCACGATACTGACTCAATTACTCCGACGGTAGGACCCCACACGAGAATCTGTTTAGCTTACCCTTTGCCCTTTTCCTCCTCCCCCTGGCGGACACCCTCTCCTCTCGCCCTCTGCGCTGCCCTCAATTCCTCCTTCTATTTCTCTTCCTCCTTCTCCTCCTCCTCCTCCTCCTCCTTCTCCTCCACCTCCCCCTCCTCTTCTCGCGCCACCTCCTCCTCCTCCTCCTCGCCCTCCCCCATGCCCCTTCCCTCCTCATCCTCCTGCCTCTTCTCCATGTGCACCTCCCGTTCCCCCTGGTCGTAGCAAACAACTCGATTTTCCTCGGCGCCGTCGCCGCGTCGGCCAGCACGCGCGCGTTTGCCGACGGCTAGATCGCGCAGCCGTCGGGGCAACCCTTCGGGCCAGGCCGTTGGGGCAACCTCGCAGGCCGCAGGGGCGCGGGAACCAGCCGTTGGGACAGCCCCGCGGGCCTCCAGGCGCGCGCCGCGGCGGTCAGGCGGGCGGCAGCGCGAAGCCCAGCTCTGCCGCGAACTGCTCCGCCTCAGCCCTGGGGCCCACCGCTCTCAGGTCAAACTCCTGTAGCGCCTTCCGGAGGGACGCCGGCGGCCCGCGCTCCAGGAACTCTCGCGCGGGCGGCCGCAGGATCAGCATGTTCGGCATGCACGTGGCGCGGGAGAACATGACGTAGAGGTGCAGCCACCACATTTCGTCCGACATGCCCGTGCGGCCAGCGTCGTCATCCCTGGCGCAGTCGATGGTGACGCCATTGCGCAGCGTCTGGCCCTGCGACAGCGTGGAGGTCAGGTAGGACGCATGCGTCAGGGTGAACCCCGAGCGGCGCACAGTGTGCGCCCCCGAGCTCTGCCACGTGAGCTCCTGCTCGTTGGGCCTGAACATGAGCAAGCTCCTCGCCCGCGCCTCGGCCTCGCCGTCGTCGCCAGCGCCATCGGCGCGCTGCTGCAGCACCTCGGCGACCTCCTTGTAGATCGGGGACTCCTGGAAGCCGTGCGCCTGCAGCCAGATGCCCTGCGGTAGGTAGCGGGGGAGGAAGAGCTGGCCCGGCGCGCTCTCCTCGTAGTCCCGCTCGTCGTCTGCGTGAAACTCGAAGGACACGATGGTGGCCCGTTGCTCCTGCACGAGCCCCAACTTCTTCTTCAGCTCCTCCTGCACGGCCGTGAACCGGACCTCCGTGCCGACGTGTGCCGGTAAGACGCCGTGGATGTCCCCGGTCTTG